CAGGGACTTTTATTTATTGTCTGCAAGTCCAACAAGTATACTAAATTTATAAAATTCCCAATGATCCCCTCCTAGTTTTGAGTTTATATTACCTATTATCTACACCTTCTGGGAACTAATTTATCATAAATACTATAGTTTCTAGTATAAACTATCCTCATTTTCACATTTATTACATTCTTCTCTTTACTCCCTCAGTATCATTTCCAAAACTGCCTAACAACAATTGCAGTGGCAACATAATGTTGCACTGTGTCAAATAAGACTATTTATCTCAAAGCTCTCTCTATAAAACACTACTAAAATAACATGTAAGAATGTAATATGTAATCAAACAATATGTGTTCCAATACATTACCTTCTTGCTAGCATTATCATTGGGCTCTTCTGAACTTTATTCTGCATACCTTAAAATCAATCTATTATAGCTCACTATTTATAAAGTAAAATATGGTTTATTTTATGAAGAAGTAAAAAAAAAAACTGTGAATGTGGTTTATACTTGTTTTAAATATAAATGTTTCCTTATCAGTAAAATAAATGAGTTAAACTTTGATAATTTCTAAAAACCTATCCCCCAACAATAGATTCCTTCTATGTTTCTAAAGTACGAAATTAGGCTTATCTGACAGCATGATCCAAAAATGTCTGGAAGTCGCTTGGATAAAATTTAAACATCTGTCCATGGATAAATGATCTGATTTTCAGGCTTTACCACAGTTAATTTTAGTTATAATAATGTGTTATTCTTCATAAAAGATACTGCTACTGATGTCCTGTCAATAAAGCATATGCACATTCTTTTAGATGTCAAGATAGTTACCTTGTCTCAACTTTCCTGGCGACTAAAAATACTAATCTCTAGGGGTAAAGTTAAGAGTGATATCTGTAATTACGAAAGAGAACAAAGCAAACCAGCTTGTGGCTTAAGTACTCCAATCTCAGTCTCAATTTCTCAGGCAAGAAACTGTGGAACATCTATTCTGTGCTTGACGCTCCAAAGATGCTTAAATGGTCAGCACCATGGCCACTTTCAAAAACTAAAACTTCTACAGATAAATCATATCTATTTTTACTTATACAATCAGCCTTCAAAAGAATGTGCCTAAAGTTTATCCCGTAATTCTGTTCTTCTCAATTCTGAATAATTTCTAAAACCAATAGCTTTCATATCTGAGGCAGATAACATACAGCTTACATGAAAACTTTCTGCTACTACAGTAAATTTTAGGGGAAGCTTTTATCAGTAAGTAAAATGTCATAAAGTCTTCTGCTGACATTTTTTCCATGTTCTCAGTTTTACCACATTAGTAGTTAAATCCACCAAAATCCATAGTAAAATAAATAGAAAATCCACCCTTCCAATGGAGCGGATTTTGTCACCATCTTAATCCACTATGACAGCATATTTTTTTTGAGACAGAGTCTCACTCTGTCACACAGGCTGGAGTGCAGGGGCATGATCATGGCTCACTAAACCTCTGCATCCCAGGTTCTAGCAATTCTCATGCTTAAGCATCCCAAGTAGCTAGGACTACAGGCACACGCTTTGACAACCAGCTAATTTTTTTGTATTATAGTAGAAATGGGGTTTCACCATGTTGCCCAGGCTGGTCTCGAATTCTTGTGCTCAGGAAATCCACCTTCCTGGGCCTGCCAAAGTGCTAGGATTATAGGCATGAATCACTGTGCCTGGCCCCACTATGGCACCAATATTAAGAATAGGAAAGTCTAGGTAAGTAAATTACATTTATTAAATGCTTACCAAGCTCCTTAAAAAAAAATCTCATTTAATTTTCCTTATAATTACTATTACCACAATAATGCAGAATAGAAACAATCCAAAGGATTAAGTAACTACGTGAATAAGTGGCTTAATCAGGGCAGGATTCAGGTCAGATATGCCTAATGCCAAAACCCCTGCTATTATTTATGCAACTCTCCCTTAATTTACTTGGTTCTATGTTACACCTAGCATTAAAGTTAAATTCTAACCCTCACTTGTCTCTCCTTCCTGAAGTTTAAAAAACTTTTTCACTTATTTAATACTAAAATGACTGCAATTTTTCCCATCCCCTAAACCAGTTTCGCTTCTTCCTCTTTCCTCCCCTTCTCTTTTCATATACAAAGAAAGAACTTTGACTTTGTTCTTGTATTCAGACTTTCTTTTCACTCTTATATTTTATTAATGCTACAGGCACATTATTTCTCCAAGTCAAGAGTAAACAGCAAACTTCTCTGCCCCTTCCCCTTAACTGTAAGCTGCTGATTACCGAAAGGCCCTGGCTATTGATCTCAAAGCTAGAGGACAGTTTACATGCACAATGAGCTAGACAGAGCGGCTAGCTTTTTCTCAGCCTTAGGCAGCAAATGCTGATCAAGTGTCTGCTCGAACAGGATATCTGGGAAGAATACCTGAAATCGATGTTGCTGAACACAAAGGTATTCAGGAAAATTTGAATTGTACTGCTTCTTCTCTTCATTTATATAGGGGAAGTGATGAGAACCATGATAAAATGTAAAAATGTGATGTAATTTCATACTGATTTGTTTATATAGCTTTGAAAATAGTAAAAACTAAGTTTAGTGAAGTTAAACGGATTCCGATTCATTAGCATCACTTTTAATAGAACAGTTACAACATTTGGAACATACATCTTTATTATAAATTCTGAAGTACTGGAGTCTTTTTTCTGAAAATAGCTAAATATTTCTTTAAAGTCTTTCCCCAGTGCTGTGCACTTGCTAATCCTCCTAAGGTCTAGGTTCTAAAGTTCAGCTAATGGAGAATGTTCCATTACATACTGAACCCTGAAATATATTGTAAGACAAAGAGTATTATTTTGGTAATTAAAAAAAAAAAAAAGGAGGCTGGGCGCGGTGGCTCATGTCTGTAATCCCAGCACTTTGGGAGGCTGAGGCGAGCAGATCGCCTGAGGTCAGGAGTTTGAGACAAGCCTGGCCAATATGGCAAAACCTCATTTCTACTAAAAATACAAAAATTAGCCAGGCGTGGTGGCACGCGCCTGTAGTCCCAACTACCCTGGAGGCTGAGGCATGAGAATTGCTTGAACCTGGGAGTTGGAGGTTGCAGTGAGCTGAGATTGAGCCACTGCACTCTGGCCTGGGCAATAGAGCAAGATTCCATCTCAAGAAAAAAGAAAGTAAAAATATGTGACACTGTACTTAGACTGAAAGAAGCAGTTTTTTCTGCGTTTAGGAACAAGTCACATGCCTATGCAAATATATTCCCTTATCATAACAGTAAGGAGTAGTGACTATGTGTACACATAGATAGATACATAGATACAGACATAGACTATTTAATCTTAAACATTCACTTGAATTTAAAACTATATATTTACATTTCAAAAAGAGAAAAGGGATAAGATCATCACAATCAATGCTTTTCTCTAGTTCTTTGAAATTACTCAAATAACACAAACATTAGAAAACAAAAAGTTATAAGCCCTGGAATCCAAGACTATAGCTCAGCCACATCGGAAATAATTTATTCAACACCATATCTCTGACCTTGAGTCAAGACAATATACTAGAGATCTTAACTCTTTGCTGTAAAAGAGAATTCACTAAGTTCAAGTTTCAAAGAACACTTAGTCTCACAACACTTATTCTCACATAGACTTTACTCGCACTATTCTATACAGCAGTCACATGTGGTTACTGAGCACAGGAGCCACATATGGTAACTGGGCTCTTGAGACTAGATATACCTTGGATTTTGAAAACTTTCATTAAAATAAGTAAAATACTTCGTTTATGTTGAAAACATATTGAAATATTTTTGATATACTGGATTAAATTACATTATTAAAATAATTTCACCTTTTTCTTTTAATGAGTTTTAACGTGGCTCCTAGAAAATTTTTAAGCAACTTGTATTACATTTCTATTGAACGGTGTTGCCTATGTCACTCAATCTAGCACTTAATAACCATAGCATTTTTTTCAAACAAGCTCAAACCCTCTAAATGAGGTAACTGTCCTTTACTTGGCCCATGCAATTTTTTGTGCTGATCTTGTCTTTCCAAGTAGATTAGACAGTGAAGTAACTAATAACCGGCTACTAATTGACCAAATTTCATTCATTCATTCAAAACTACAATCTTAATTTTATCAGAAGAGGATCTTTATCTTTCAGGATCCATTAAGTATGTTTGTCTGGAAATATTTGATGAGAACCAAGATTCCCTCCAAGGAAGTATTTTATCAACTCCTTAAACTCCTATAGAAATAGATGTGATCTCGGTCAGTACATTTAGGAGAATTTATCCTTGAGGGTATATTTTTAAAAATCGCTAATATTTTCCTTATTTTATTCATCAATCTTTTAATGGATATCCCTTCCTCATTTCAAACAGATTTAAGACAGCCTTCAATGATCCACTAAAGTTCAGTGTAATTTTTAAATGCTTAAACGCAATGTAAAAGCCTACCTGACCCATGGTTCCTTACCTATACCACAGAACACAGAAAATAATTGAGTGTTTATTTTCTCAATTATCCCAAGAATGGCACATCCCTAGGACCCCTCTAGATGCACAAGAAAAAAGTTAATTCATTCCACAGAATAGATGCCTTAAGTTTTATCTATGAATTCTCCAGCAGAGCCCAGTGAAGAAATGACTAGACCCTTGTGTTGCCTAAATATTAATGATTAAGATTCACAAACAGAAAGTGTTTTTATGTGTACAGTTGTGATTTCTCACAAGCTCTCAGAAAAAAGAACATTAGCATTTTGTTTGGCAGATTGTATAATTATGCTCTTAAAAGACTTCTAAGAGTTATTTAGAAAAACATGGACAAGGAGTGGGACAATCATGGCTTGAGCCTAGACACTGTACTACATTATTACTTAAGTAAAATCATAAATTTTAATAAAGTACACATATGAATTCCACATTTCTATTTTTAAAATATCACTAAGTAATTACAGTCACAGATATAAGAATAATTGGTAATTTAAGGTTCTACTTTACCTAAATATATCAATCCAAATCCTCCAGAGCCAATCTTCTGGCCCAGTACCCACTGATTGCCTTCCATATCGTCCAGAACCTTGCCTTCTGGAAGTGGAATAGGAAGTCTGTATTTCTCATTTCTTCTTGGTGGCATCACTTCTGTTGGCAGAAGGGGTGAGATAAATGGGTAAAAATAAAAACAAACAAAACTCTTTAGAATTAAAATACATTTCCCAAAATGTCTTCAATGGGGAACTTTCCCAGGTTCCCAGAAGCTAGGATTCTAAAGTTAATTCAGTTTGGAAAAGTCCACACATTACAATCAAATTAGAAATTCACATACATTACAATATTGAGCTCTAAGAGGTACTGATATTTAA